AATGAAAGCAGGACCAAGCTCATTCAGAGCTGTATTTTTCCTTCTCAGCATATTTTGGGTATACTTATTACAGGATAAGCTCTTTTTGCTGCCACAAGCATTATAACAATTTAAATAGCAGTCATCTACTGTATGATTTCCTTCCTTCCACCAACACTATGATACTTAGGTCCAAAGCCATTAGAAAAGCAATTAACCACAAACTTCATTTAGCTAACTAAAATGAGATGAGGTAATTTTATTTGTTTGTATTTGTTACAGCAATAGCAGCACCAGTTTTGCTTGTTTGTTTTTGCAGTGACTTAAGGAGAAGCAAACAAATTCTTTCAAACATGTAATAAATACCTAGAGAAAAATAACAATAATTACACTTTCAATGTCAAATAAGCATTAGTTCTCCATGTCTTGTGTTTCACATTTTCATAGTGTTTTCGTTTTTAAAGACTGTTTTTAAAATAAATGCTGGTAAGTGCTTCCTAGAAAATACTATATTTGATGGCATTTTGTTTTCCTCTGTGCATGAATGGATTAGGGACAACTGCTGAGTTTACAGCTGTAAATGCAAATGTAAACCTAACCTAGGTTACAGTCTGAACATGTGCTATTTGCTCCACCTGTTCTGTGTTTGCAAGGTTATCTGATTCAATCCCCTCTTTCAAATGGCACTGTTTAAGTTCTCTGGTTGTCTGGCAAAAATGCTGGAAGGTGAAGAAAAGCAAGTGGTTTCAAGGTAAACAAAAATCCTTTGTTCTAGTAAGGTATGGAGGGGAACCACTGCCTGTCCAAAAGTTTTTAGAGTTTGTGAACACCACATTTGCTTCTACAACTTCTGTGGAGACTCCATGCCTTTGGTTTTCCTGGCTGCTCTACTAGGGAGAAGTACGTCTTCTTTTCATGCCAAGAGTATGCTAGCTCAGCCAGTATGCTGAGCCTCCCATGCTGCCTGCATTACACAGTCAGGGACTGAAGGCATTCCCTCTGGGAATAGTTATCTTAGCATAGTTATGTTTTGCAGGCTGAGAAATCCTGGTAGCAGAGAGTGCTGGAATGGTGAAAAATCAATCCTGAACTGGTGAGGCTCAGCATAAAAGGCACTTATACACTGGAGACAGGAATGTAGTGGCAAGCTTTAAAGGAAAATCATGAATTGCATGATTATTTGGGTAGGGAGCAGTGTTCTTCCTGGCTGTGCTTGCATAACATCCATCCCTTGTCAGAGGATCTGTAATACCACAATATGGCTATATGGGAGCAGCGCCAAGGCTGACAGAAGGGGTCTAACATACAGAGTGTGGATCCTGCTCTGAACCTGCCCCAGGTTCCCTGAGGTTTTGATTAATGCTCATCCCAAAGTGTTTCGTCATATTGTTTACCTTTTCAGCTTGGAGCCACTAATGTTACTGCCACAGCACTACACATCTTGAGCTGAACACATCTCCAGTTCTCCTAGCAGATCGGTTGAATTATGTAGGTCTCAGTCACTCTGGTGAATTTGGCTTGGGGCAGAGAGCCTGTTTATTTGAAGTGCTGTAGAATCTGTGCTCAGTCCACATTTGGGTTGCAAAACCAATTAAAAAATACATGTAAATTGCTCTAAATGCTAGTTTACTTTGGAAGCATAAATTAAATCTGGTTATATGCTTTGTCAGATTGATAGGGTCTGCTGCAGGAAACAATAACTTTCATTTATGGCAGTAGTTGCTTATGAACATACTGGGAGACCATTTCTGTGTTGTACAGTCTTTGCCAGCAGCCTTGTGAGGTAAAGCTTTGGCATTCTCAATGTTCTTCATCTTTCTGGTCAAGTGCAGTGACCAGCCAAGACTCAGGAACCTGACTTTTTATTTCTAGCTCTGCAGCAGGCTGAGACACGACCTCACCCAGGTACAGCCAGATTAGCTGCAGAGGCAGGCAAATTCTACTTCTCCTTCTCTATGTCTGATGTGATTTTAAACACTTGAAGTTGGGAACAACCTCCAAAGGTACATCCATGCTGCATCGCTGCAGTAGAGAGGGGAGGGAGACAGCCAGGTTGCCCTGAACAAGCAGCGTCCAGCAGCTCAGCTCAGACAGTGCCAAGTCACACACCCTTCTTGGTGCCATGCAGCCAGAAGCACAGAGCTTCTGCAGTTAGCTTTATCTCAGTAATATATATGAAGAACCAGCAATGTGCCTTCACAAAGCTCTTGCTTCAACAGCAGCCAGCATTAAAGCAAGGCAAGCAGTGGAAAAAAAAGAAGAAAAAGTTCTCTGCAAGAAACCAGCCCATAATCTGAAGGGGTGCTTCCCACTTCCCTCCCTGCAGCTTGGTTCTCCTGACAGCGTACTGTATGGCCTAGCAACTCTGCAAATGCTGAGACAAGTGTGCTGTGGAGCAAAAAATTGTTTCCTTATTGCCAGCCTCAGGCTGTCACTCCTCTGCCTCCCCCACTGTTAGGAGCTGCTAGACTCTCTCAGCCATCTGGTGCAGGACTTGAAACTTCCTGCTGCTAACCCTGGCCAGTCCTGGCATTGCTGTGCACTTGGAGTATGGAGATGAGACAGGTTTTGAAGTGTTTATACAAAGCTGGAAAAGCAGTGGAAAGGCTGGAGTAAAATGAGTGGGAAGGTGTGATCTGGAAACAAGATACGCTGGTGCTGAAGGAGGCCTGAACACACATTTCCCTTTTGTGCAGGATAAAGGAAAGGACTTTGCCTTTAGACTTCAGCTGTCAGGGGACACAGCCGTGGGAGAATAAAGTGGTAGATGTCATGTTCTTCTTTATTCCCTGCTGGGGAATGGAAATGCAGTCAGATTTCCAGAGAAGCACAAGGACTTGGAGCCCTTTGGATGAGGAAGGATCTGAGAAGCCATCTGCCTCAGTTTCCTCTGCCAGCTCCTCACCGTGGGACACCACTCATGTGCCAGCTGGGAAGCTAAAGGAATCCTTATGAGGTGTATTTAGACCAGCGTGTCAGCGACTGAGATCAGAACCAAGCTGTGCCTGCGTAGTTTGTATGGGCAAGAGAGGAAGTCATTGCTGCTCTTGTGGTCTCCCTGCTGTGATCTGCTTTGACCCCAAGTTACACTGGTTTGCTAATACAAAGAGCAGTAAGGCAGGTGTCAGACTGCTTTGTTTATGCACTGTTTTCGTCCTGCTGGCATTCAGGAACTTATCACACTGCATGTGTGATCAACTGGGCCATGTTGGACGATGTAGCTCTTCCCATAGACTCAGCATTAGTGATGCCAGTCTTTCCCTGACAGACAGAGGAAAGCCACCACTGTCTTAAATCAGGCTCTGTGATCCCAAATCCTCTATTCATGTGCATAGTCACTGGGGTGAGTTTGAACCCATCCTAGAAAGCCCTGCAGATTCCCAGAAATTCATAGAGGTTTGTTGGGGTTTTTTTAAGTTCAGTAGGTGCTTTACCTGAGTAAGAATCTCACAAGGATGCAGCCCCTGGTTGGATGAAGTGGGTGTGTTAGGCTATTATTAGGAAATGTGAATACCCAAAATAGATGCTGCCTTGAGTGAAATATGGGCTGGGTTTCCTTGTGAACATTATTACTTAGCAGATACAGTTTGCATGCAAAGCGACTTGACTTTTCCCCAGTAGGAACAACAAGATGTTAAAGAGTTATTTAGATATCAGTATCTGAATTTTGAACAGATGTTAGCTCCAGATAAATGGAGAAACTTCTTAGAGTTTATAGAAAAACTTTTGAGTTAGCCAGTTTTAAACTACTCTCTCAAATATCTATTCTAATACTTGCTGTGCACATAGTGGGTGTAATAGCACTAGCATAGGACTTCAAAGAATAATATCCCACCTTTTCAGAGGCCAGCATGCAATTGCTTGAAAGTAATCAGCTGGAGGTATTATTTTCTATTTCCCCGTGAAATGTTGCTGAAATTATTTAATGTCTTCTCACAGTTCCAGTTATTTTCCCATGTGACCTTACAAGCGCTCTCTATGTGTAAGGCATTTTATTCCTGTATCTCCACACAAAGAGAAGAATTTATTGGCACAACCTGGCACAGCCCAATTGACTTTAGGCACCTGCAGTGACTTTAAGTTGCAGTAGCTGAAGATGCTCCTCATACTACACGCACCACCCAACTGCATGGCCCTGAAAGTCAACTAAAGACTGCCCGTTAATTTGAAGACAATCTCAGTCAGGGTCTAACAAACATACTGCCTCAGTCCTATTCAGGGCAACATCTCATGGACTTCAACATGAATTCACTTTCAAAACAAGGAGCAAACAATATGTGCCCCATGAAAGCTGCAGTTACACTGCAGTGGGAAAGGTAAATGGTGATGGTGATGAAGATGACGGCGATGGCAATGATCATGGTGGTGGTGCGCTCCCCGGTGGTTGCTTTAGGTCTTTACCTCACTACTTAAAGTGTCTTCTGTTCTGCAGGATAAACGTTGAACACAGCACTTTGCACTGCTGTATTCTTGCAACTGCCCTTAAGCTTACAGGCTTTTTAGAAGGGGGAGAGTTTCACAGAAGCTGGCAGTTCTCCTGTCATCAGCTGGCAGTCATCAGAGGAACATCCTAACTAGGGGCATAACAAGGAGCAGCTTGAACCATAAACAAGTTGTCTAGATACGTACAAGGTTTTCTGAAAGAAGATAGTTTTCTTTGGATGTGTGCACAGCCTGCTGCTCTTTCATGTCTTCAGGGCAGCGAAATCAGGACACTGGCACCAAAACATCTACCTGAGTTTGTCCTGAGAAATAGAAACCCTCATGCCCCAAGCCTGTTTCCTTTTCCCCATACAACACACCCTGACCACAAGAACTACAAGGCTTATGCCTTTAGTATTTCCCCATGCCAAATCAATGAATTCAGTGTGATGAAAAGAATAAGTGCTTCTGACTGATCCGACCAAGACTGTTATTTCCACCTGTTAAAAGAAGTCTCCCCAGAGTCCAATATAGATGAGCAGACAGACTTGAGGTATTTAAATCAAAGACTTTATTTATATTTGCTCTGTTTTGTTTATTTTATTCTATTTTTTAATTAAAATTAGTTCTCTTTCAGTCAGGCCACTGTATTCCAGGTCTGAAGTTTTTTCACAGAATCAAGGGGAACCCAAAAGCTTGGCAAACACCTGTTTTAACCATGTGTCAAGAATTAGATTTAGAAAGACACTTTTTCTGTTACACAGTCATCATCATTTGCTGGTACTTCTTCATTATCCCTCGCTGGTAGCACTGGTGAATTTCATCTGCTGCTTCGGAAACAAGTGGGTGCTTCTCATTGTGCTCCCACTGCTGGGAAAAGGAAGAAACAGAGGCAGCTTAGGAACCATCTGAATGAAGCCCCTCTTCCTGGTTCCCCTGTTCCAGTTCCCTAACTGGATTTTGGCTGCAGGTGAATCTTTTCCCTTTCTCCCACAAACAGAAAAATTCTGTTGTGATAGCCTTTAACAACAGCTATGTGTTAGATGAACAGCTGCTGAAGAAAGAAACCCTAAACTGAAATCTGCTCTTTTTTTTGGTTGAACTGTATACGGGTCATGCAGATTCTACTGTAAAGTTTGAGGCCTTTTCTTTAAAAGCTCAGGAACAATCCTATCAGGAAATATGTCCTTTGCTATGCCTCTTTGCCTGGCAGCAATGATATCCCAAAATTGAGTGGTGAAACTACTCTGTGGCCTGAATCAAAGAATATTCTTTCAAAATAGCAGGGTAAAAAACAAACAAACAAACAAAAAACCCTTCTAAAATTATTTCTTAGAGTAACAAACAGAACAAGTTTTTACCCCTGTCAGCTACAGTTTTGCTTGACATCTCAGTGAGAGCAGTACTTTAAAACAATGTTGCAGCCAAAAACTTCACATTTGGGAAGTCAGTGACTTCTTGTCCTTTCCTTTGTTTTTTTTCTTTAAATCACTGGGGCAACAAGCTCTTTTAGATTACCCTTCCACTCTCTGCAAGTGATACTCAGAGATGCTGATGTGCTAATGGGTGTATTTGAGGTTGACTGAGAACTCTGTCTAAAGGGATAAATAGAGGCATATTTCAATCCTGGGGGTCAGGCTACTTAGGTGCCAGAAGACAGGCCTGGGACCACATGAGAAAACTAATTTGACTGCAAGCTGTCCTAGTCACTACTTACCACAACAGAATCATCACCAGTTATATTGGCAACTTCAAGCCCAGAATATTCACCTGTGAAATCTATGATTTCTTCAACAGCTGAAAAACAGAACATTAGAATCAAGATCAGAGATTGCAGAGGAATGAAATGGGCTGTCACTGTGGAACAGGCTGAGGTAGGATTGAATTATGCCTTTCTCTTCAGGCATGTGTCCAACATTTCCCTCAAGCTTTGCCCTCAACAGTCCACAGGGACCATTACCAGCCCTGTCTTCCACAAGTGGCAGCACAAGAGGAACAGCAGCTGAGCTCTTTGCACAATTCTGTTGCATGACAACAGCTTGTGGGAGATACATACCGACAGATGATTCAACTAACATAGGGGAATGTTTATCACACAAGAAAAAAACAAAAACCAAAAAACAAACAAAACCAAAACACCAACAGTAAAACTAGAATCAGAGAGGATCTCCTAACTAATAACAAACTTTTCTTTATCTCCTTCCAACGTGGTGATTACAAACTTAGTTTGCTAGCATCTGGAGTGGCAGCTGTGAGAACTGCCAGCTCAGCAGAGTAGGTATTCAGATGTTTGAGCAGCACTTGACAACCTTTGCTATACAGATCATCTCCCACTAGTGGTGAATTTATTGCAGCTCAGTAACAACAACACCAACCCTCCAAAAGCTGTTTCTGTTCTTACCAAGCTCAAAATAAAGTGTACCAGTTTCTTCAAGGTCTATTGGCTGGGCTTCTGAAGTTCCACCTGCACTGGAAGCCAGCAGCTTGCTTCGTTTCTGAGCTCGTTTGGAATTGACAGCTTGTCCACGGCGCTTTCGCCAGCGCTGAGAGAGAACAAAGCCGTAGCATTTTGTGTGGGAGTAATATCAACGTGGCCCTCATTTTTGCAAGACCAATGAAAACACATGAGGATACAGAAAACAATTCCACAGAGGATGGAATATGCATAAAAATGTGCTAGGGGCCATTCCTACTTGAGCCCATTGCAAGAAGGAAAAGACATCCCACCTGATTTCTTACCAGTTGCCTCACCAAGAAAAAAATCTATCCTGATGGCTTACAAATGACACTAGTTCATAATTCATTAGGTTGTTGCTCACACTGTAAGCATTTCTGAACTATTGCAAGCACCCAGATTCAAAATCTTCAGCATCCCCAAAAAAGAAGTTACATGAAGTTTAAATAGTTTTCTAGTAGTATGCATTTGCTACAGACTCTTGAAATCCTTTCTGGAAGTACCCTGGAAAACATGTTTCAAGAATCAGATTTACACCGAGTAATAAGGTACTTACTGTGCTCATGGTGTTTTGTGATCTAAAATCGCCAAAAAAGTAGACAGGACAACACCAGAAAAGGAATGTCAGGGAAGCAACAGTGACGGATCCCTTAGATTCATTTACGCAGCACAATGCTACAGAGTCCTGATTTCTCAGGGCTAGAGAATGATGTCCTTCCAAACCTATCAGGAAAGTAGAGCTATTAGAGATTGCCTATCTGGAATGCCTGTTCTCTTAAATATCTCCCAGCTGCAAGCTTCCCAACCCTGAGTCACTAGGGCCTGAAGCCCAAAACAGCTTCTCAGCATCAGAAACTTTTTCAAAAAATCATCTGCACTCACCTATGCAGTCAGTTGTGAGTTTTTCTCACAAATATCAGCAAATTGCCTTCTATTCCCACCTGGGATGGAGAAGGACGGAGAAGGCGGATGCTGTGCATCTGCTGCCCAGCAGAGAATCCATCAGCTGACTTAACTCCTGGTCTACTGAGCCCTTGGCAACCGTTGGGTAACGTTCTACCATGTTCCATGTCTTCCCAAAGTTCTCTTTGCACCTTCACAGAGTTCCAGAATGCCTTGGCTTGGCAGGGACCTTAAGGACCATCTGGTTCCAGCCCCCTGCCATGAGCAGGGATGCCACCCACTGGATCAGGGTGATCAAGGTCCTGTCCTGGAACGGGGCCTTCCAGGGACGGGGCATCCACAGCTTCTCTGGGCAGCCTGTTCCAGCGTCTCAAAATCCCCAGACTTCTTCCTAATATCGGGTCTAAATCTCCTCTCTTTTAGTTGAAAACCGTCCTCCCCTCTCCCATCAGTCTCTGCTCGTGTAATAAATCATCCTGCCTTTCCTATAGGCCTCCTTTAGGCACTGGAATGCCCCAGTGAGGCCTCCCTGGAGCCTGCTCCTCTCCAGGCTGGAAAGGCCCGGCTCTCCTGGCCCAGCTGTGGAGGAGAGGAGCTCCAGCCCTCTGGGGCTTCCTCCGGCCCTGCTCCACCAGGCCTGTGCTGGGCCCCACATCTGGGCACAGCACTCCGGACGGGGCCTCACGAGGGCAGAGCACAGGGAGACATTCTCCTCCCTACACCTTCGGCCTGGGGAACACCGTAGCCTTTCAGGGGCTAAAGAAATCCCACCAACTCCACTAGCCTGCTGCTGAAAACTCTTAGGGGACTGTCTTAACTTTAACCCTAGTAAACATAATTAAAATTACGTGTGGTTTGGTTTTTTTTTCCCCAAACTCTTGAAAATCTAACAATTTAGATCCTTATTTCAAGTCTCTGAAGTCTTGAAGATTTCAGGTGTTCATCTGTTCCTCTGCCAGCATTATTCACAACAGGGCTGGGAGGAGGTTTGCTCTTCTCCTAGGGACAGCACCTTTGTCCTGAGGCCCTGCTGTGCTATGAAAGGTGACACAGCAAAAAAAAAAGAGATTAAAATTCAGCTTGCCTTCTAGCCAGTCTGCTGCTGGAGCTGCATTCATAGGGATTGACTGGGGCTCCTGAGACTGGCAGCAACTCCATCTTGGCCCTGCTGGATTCAGGGATGCTCCTCAGCCCCTGGTCCTGCGGGTACTCTCATGTGTGGGAAGAATGGTGGAAATTCATGGATAGCATAAGGGTATCTTCAGCTCATGCTTCTCGTGAGGAGGATCATTTCTTACAAAAATTTCTCTTTTATTACAGCTGTTGCTCTTAAGTAAATGCAAAGTGTTGAGTGTCTAAGGATGGGTGGGGATGACTTTTCCATTTTTCTCAGTCCTGTGTCTGGCAACTAAAGCAAAGGCTCATTTTGCATCCTTCATTTGTGCCTGGAGACTGGTGTGAGGGCCTTAATTATTTATATATTAAATATAAATTTGGAATTGCTCTAGCACCCTAGCATTTTTATATCAAGCATTAAATCTCCTTTACGGTATTTTTCTTATCTAAACCTCTACCCTTTGGATCCAACATTTTTGGAAAGCAGAAGTGTTTAAGCTGAGATGAACCACAAGTGGATTTAGTGGAGTATGAAACACCCCATGTGTTAAAACAGGGAGCCTGTCCACTCACGCTCCAAGTACAGCTGAGGTTGGCTGAGTGGACTTGTATTTTGGGGCAGGACTGGATGCCTTTTAGCAGGAATGTGTCATCTGGAGTAAGGGAGGGGGGAGCACTGAGGAAAAGGAGGGGCAGCTTTTAGTAAGTCAAACATTTGAGGGCTATTGAGCTCGATCTCCCTCTTCACTGCTAGACAATTGCAGCAGGGGCCTGGTAGACATTTATTGTGAGGCCCGACACTTTTTAATTAAAGCCACTATTGAAAATATTCATCACTCAGCGATGGGATGGGGAAAGAAACCCCCTGCCCCTTCTCTGAACATTCCAGGGAAGCTGAAAAGCCCACACAACTGTTTATCTCCTCCCATAAGGGCCAGCTTTGAAGCAAGGTGTAAGACCTCTGAAAGACCCCGTGCCTTTCCATTTTGGGAAAGAAGAAGTTTGCATTTATTAGCTTCCAAAAATTCAAGGTTAATTATAGCCAACAACCCAAAACTAAGCTCAGATTGAGTTGGTTGGTAAATTAACCACCTGGAAGAATAGCATCAGGATTTTCATATGATAGCTATGGTTCACCAGGATTTTTTGGCAGGAGACACCTTGGGAAGTGAGAAACCCACAGTTCACTGGACAGGCGTTGTCAGCTCTGTTCTCTCCCAAATCAGGGGGACCCTGGAGATCAGAACAAGGGCTTTAAAGTAATTTAAGAAGGGTGAATGTAATAATATACCAAAGTAGCCTGCTGCAGGGTGATCACTGATGACAAGTGGTGGGTTACCAATGGGAGGGAGTGTGGCACCTGACTCCCCACAAGGCTCAGCACATGGACAGGGTGGCACTCCCCAGAGCAACCCTGCAGACCAGTGTCTCTAAATCCACCATAGGGGTGCAGGGAAATAGGCAAGGATTACCAAAAGAAGCCCCCAAAAGATGATATTATTGACAACTAATAATTTGTACTAGTCTCTCTGAGGATTGCATTTCAGTTCATGTGTCAATTTGTGCTTTGCTTGACTACAGCAATGGTTGTGACTTCAGAATATGTTTCCCAAAATCTTCACAAGGAAGTGCTAGTGGATGGTCTATTAGAAACATACATATTAAGACAATTCAAAGTAAGTAAATACATTTTTGAACCCTCCTGATGGTAGACAGTAGTGCCTGGCTTGTTTTGCAGAACAAAAACCCAGGTAGGTTTCTTGTTGCTGGGTCTGCTTTGCACCCTCTTTAATGGTAGTAAGTGCTTCTCTTGGCAGAGGATGGAGGTTTTGGGGCACCTTTCATCCTCCAAAAACCTGGATGTGCTGGGGCCCCCTTTAGTTGCCCAGGCTTGGCTGCCAGTTTAGGAGCAAAAAGCTGAGCACTGTGAGGAGGATCTTGCAGGGGGCCTTGGCAATACTTCAGTACATCTTAGTCCCTGGTCCTTGCCACAGGATGATGATGTGTCTCATTAGGCAGCAGAGGGACAGCCAGCACATTAGGACAGAGTCTGCTTGGTTCAAGAGCAATGTAAGCACCACCACTCTTTTATCCCCTCTTTACCATCCTCACTTAAAGGAATGCAGCGCTTCTTTAAGTCCCAGTTACTGCCTGAACACTCAGTGAAAATTTTTTAACCTTTAGGTGTACAAGCACCAGGCATGACCCATCTTCTTCTTACCCACGGTGTTCCTCTACAGCAGCAGGTCCTTTGCTCTCTTTTCCAGGGTGGTTAGCTCAGGATGTCCCTACCTGACAAAGCTCTTCTCCCCACTGCCCTCTGTGCTGCACACCTGAAGCTGTTCCAAGCATCCCACTTCAGCCCTTTGCTTGGTTACTCCTGACAAAGCATTAAAGGGCTTCAAGATCACCCTAACTTTAGACCAGTGCTGATACCATGTTTATTATTTACTTCATTTTCCCCTGCAGTGGCAGCTACACACTGTATTTGTTTAGAGAGACAGAGAAAAGACTAATGCAAAACTGTAAAAGCTGCCTCAAGGATTGCCAGCGTCTATTAAGGTGGGTGGAACCAGGCAAATCTATCTCTGAGACATTTTAAAAACCTGCCAAAGTGCCTAATCTGTCACGATTTCGGACCCTTACACTACCAAGCACAGCTTTAGAAGAGAAAATTGAAATGGGTTTCTAACCTGAGCCTATTTTTGCAGTTTGCAATCTAAGCCTTGTGGCATTCCGAACTGGAACTGCATGGACTATACTGCAATTTCCCTTTTCCCTGCACTTACATGGTCTCTTGCTCCTTAAATCTTCCTGACAATTTTAATGGAAACTTCAAATTTCCCATGCTTTGGAGTAGTCTTATTCATTCATGAAAAAGAGAATCTTTTGATGTTTCCTGAGTTTAATCAAAATTTTAAAATATTGCATGTTAATTTTTTTTTTTTTTAATGGTGAGTTTTGGTGACAAAAAGACGTTGGCAAAAATTGTTTTGCTAAAAACTCTTCAGTTGCCTACAGAGATGGTTAGTATTTCAATGCTCAAACAAAGATGAAAAGAGGAAAGGAAATAAAACGCTTTCTTTGATTCTCTCTATTACGTGCTGTAGGAAATCTTTAGCAGAGAGCGCATGCACTTAGTCTTGGAAAACAGAATGTATCTACATGCTTTACCTGTGCAGTTAACAACATATCACTGCTGGGGTTTGCCTGCCTGCTTTCTGAACTGGCCCCTTGATTGGCAATTTGCCTTTTACATGATTGCAAGACAATCTTGAGAAAAATGCCAATATTTTTTTTTAATTTCTGCCTGAATTGATTCCTAGGCTGTGGTTGCATGATCCTTGATGCCATATCTGTAGAAACAGTAACCAGCTAAATGAACTTGAACTGGATTGAGAGTTTACATTTGGTTGTGGCATTTTAAAATCTGCTTTATGATTGAGAGTTCTTTCAAACTTAGTCTTAATTCATTCCAGCCAAACTAGTTTAAAACAAACTGGTCTCACAGCCAGACACAACTGTTTAACCAAATGAGTAAAATTATGTCTTAATTAGACTGTTGGTCTCTCCTAGGCTCCCACACAAGCCCCTTTACACAAGAAGAAACTAAAGGTTGCTTCTAAAATTATTTTTGGAAAATCCTGAGTGGGAGCCAATAGATAAAAATGTATGTTTTCCTTTTCTTTGCTGCTATTCCATCTAATTTCACATTGCTTTTATAATTCACTTCGCTGTTGCTAGA